TCACAAAGCCTCTGCTGCCTATTATGGTTCCATTGAGCACTCATCAGCGATTCGCTGAACCGAGACAAACACATTATTCGAGCCAGCCGCTCACGATTCCTTCGGGACCCCACCGCGAACGTGCATGGGCTCTGGTCAAGGAACAATTTGATTTCCTTGCCGCTATTCTCGACAAGAATGTCGGAGATGGGGACGGAATTTGCGCAATGGGAAATCAGCTCACGTATGCTGATTTTGCGATCTGTTCCGTCCTGCTTTGGATTGAACAAGTAGCGGCGCTTGACGGATGGCCCAGAGTCAGAGAGTGGAACCGTGGGAAATGGGCACAATTGAGGGAGAGGTGTGGTGTTTATATGGATGTTCTGTGATCTGAGACAGTATCGAGTACAGCTGTCGTTGTCATTGACTCAGATCCTAGTTACAAATTGCTTAAATGTTCATTTACTGACATTTACGCGACTGACACTTGCTGATGGCGATGACGTAGTCCGCGGATCCGGCGTCCTCATGTGATGGGAATCGGTGCAGCTCGCCAGTAACTCACCGCCCCCACATTCCAGATTCCTGAAGCTCGAGCTAGGCTGTCTAACTGTAACATAACCGAGAACTAGAATACTGCATCATGGAACACTATTATGAAACTCTGTCGTGACCGAAACAAAAGCTATGTGTGTTGAGATCTGGATTGATCCGTATTCCAAACTGCGCCGGACAGCATGTCACACGTCATACCGTTATACGACATCTTCATAGGCTGAGGCTACCTGTTACATCAAGCCACATCTCCATTCTCACGTCAGTTTTGGCCAAAATCGGACCAAAAGAGGGTACTTTGAGTCATAGGTCAAGTGATTTGATGCATACAGTAATAGCCTGAATTAGGGCAACAAACGCGAAAAATCAGGTTTTTCCGGCCGGCGCAACTTTTCAAAAATTTCGGCTGAGATTTGTCAAATGTATGTAACGGTCTTTACTGGGCTCGCGTTACACTTTACAGGTGCGTCGTAACTTCATTTCATAGGCGACCATTACACGTTACTGAAGATATGGGAAACAGTACAGTAACTTCACTTAGTCTACCGTGTTCTGCGAGATTTCTCCAGCCTTCCTTCGACATAAAAATCTGTCCAATATTCCAGATTACCCACACTTCTAACCAAATGTATCCGTCTGTCATCTATGCCATTCTCTTGCAAGAAGTCCAGCGATGATTTCACGGTCGAACTAGGTGGTGTAAGGAGGACCAAGACTCGAAGGGACAGACAGTCCTCCAAGACCTTCCCCAATGGTACCACAATGCTTGGCCTGGGCCAAAACCTGAACGATAAATGTGTCACATTCGGTAATGCAACAAAAGCATGTTCATTCCATAATGACCAGGGGTTCACCATGTCCAAATGCGTGATATTTGGCATGCTGAACCGCTTTGGAAATATCCGTATTCCTACAGAGAGTCGTTTCAGATGCCTGAGCTGAGCTATAATGGGAAGAAGCGTCGGTGTGGCGTGCGATTCCGGGATAGCCCAACATGCGAGGTTACAAACACCAGCACAATTTGTTAGAATCGAAGCTGCTTCTGGAACATGGACATGTTCGGTGATGCTGAGGGTTTTAACATGCTTCGAGAGGAAATCCGATGATTTAGAGGTGAGGAACTTGAGTGCTACTCGCTGTTTTGTGAGGGTGACATCCTTGTACAGAATTGTCTCCATCCTAGCGAGTTCAGCTCAGGAGAAGATCATGAAACGAGATGAATACCATATCTGAGCGCGTCGAGCGACAACCACGAGGTTTATCACGCTACGAGGATAAATTGCCACTGTGGTTTCAAATATTTCACGTTCCAACTCCCAGGGCAGCGATATTGGAGCACCCTGAGTTCTGGCGACTCGGAGAGTCATGATTCGGGATAAGAGCAACTGGGGTCGGTGTTGCTGATTCATGACAGGTGGTCTGACACGCGCATATGACCGATAGTACCCGGTGCCAGTCTCCAGAGCGGTCTAAGCGTCTTTGCTGAATCCCTAAATTGGGAGTCAATGTTGGTCTTTGGATACTGAAAGACAAACAGTGGGTTACTGTTGAACCTCATAAACAATGCATATCTTGGATCAATTTTAGTGAAAACAAACTTGAAATATGAAAGTCATTAGCTTATCAGGACGTACGTAGTGCGGCACGAACGTCAGTCATGATCCGGCCGTAGAGAAGTCGAGACCCTACATTCATAATCCGACTCTTTGGTATTTTCTGTTCCCCGAGGACTCCCCTGGACTCTGAACGCCGAACTTGAAGTTTGGGACCAGTACATAGTACCCGCTATCTGGTGTGAATCTAGCGTAAGAGGAAATGACCTTTTCAACGCCTTCTCTTTCCTTGTCACCCAAATCATGCCAAGTAAACCTGCAATGTGAATGAAGCGCATTTTTCTCTTGGAAGCTGTTCGCAAGCGCAAAGTCGTAGCACTTTCGCGGCCCTGGGTCGTCAGTAACACCTTGAATTTTGAAATATGAACATCAATAACGTGAAGCAAACAAACGGACAGGTCAGAAAGGTGAGATTGAAACGACCAAAAAGAATCGCGTCTGAGATTCTTGTTCTCTGGCGTGCCAGGAGACATGATTTTCCCGTGAGCAGAGGTGCAGAGATCGCCGACTATCTCTATATATTTCCGATGATATACAGTGCACTTTTGAGAGTCCAACCTAGTCCATCCGGCCCAGATCATTATCTTGTTTTGTTGGGGTGTGAGAATATACAACGGAGTTGGAAAGCAGCCCATTTCTGGTTTGTGCCCTGAGCTGATGATATCTCCCAGACAGAATATAATTATTTCATTGCTTGATCTTCTTTGTACTAGCAATTTTTCGATCTCCCTCATGTCTCGTTGACTCGGACAAACTCAAACCTTTCGCTATTCCACTTCCATACCCTGTCATAGCGTCAGTGTTAAAACCAAATGATCCAAAGACAAAAGGACCCTAGATCTCTACGCTCATTGACATATTCTGCGAGTCTACCAGTCAGGATCGGATCGACGACCTTCATGATCCTTGGGAACTTTGTAAAGGGGTTCCTCTCGCCGTACATTGTGCGGTATCTGAGAAACAAGGCTACCAGGACCAGATCTAGGAGCATTATCTGCCAATTAATTGAATATTTGATTCAGAATGTTGTTTGGATGCGACTCACAGTATTTCCGGCATAGTACGTTCCACGGCTTTTTTCAAGAAACGCTTCGTGCCATTTGAGAAAGTTCGGGATTGTAGCGGAGATGTGCTTCTAGTGGTTTGCTGCACGCAGCTCGAGAGATGGAAGGATTCCTGTCGATTTGATGATTTCTTGAAGAGAACGCAGGGAGGTTATAATCGAGATTGCTCGAGCTCTCTCGATGAGGTCTGTAGGGAGCAGGCCCAGTTTCTCGCCCAGGTAAAGTTCGATGGCGATGCTCTCCCATATGTGCTGTTCAAAAGGATTAATATTACTCTGTGATGTCGCTTGAACTCACCTGAACTGTCCCATCCGGCTGGGTCACCGTAAGCCTAGGAGCTGACCGAACTGCTGCTCTCCTTTGATGGATGCCCAGGTGCCCATCTTGACGCATAAGTGAGGACGATGTTGTCCAAGGCGAAATACTCGCAACGGCTGAGACGGTTGTCAATTTGTATTTGGTCTCTGTCATCTCCAGAATCATTCGGGGAACGTCCACGCGTAGCCAGATATCAAAGTAGAGAAGCTCGTACGCCTCGGTTGACATTCGGGGGCAATTCACAGCTGAATACCCGAATTGCTGCGGCTTTTATGGATTTCAGGTCTTCAATGATTAATGCTTGTCGCATTTTGGGTAACAAGCATTGCATTTGAAATAATCTCAGCTCTGTACACACACGAACACGTAACGGACTCTCGAAGTAATTGGTCTGAGTGAGGACAACATTTGATGTGCTCCACTGCGGCGTTTATAGTACAGATTTGAAATACGAGTTCCACATCAACGCTTATAGATGTGCTCAAAATATAGGCATAATAGCTAACCTGAAAACAACATAGCAGTTGGAAGTAAATGCTACTTCACGAGTTCTTTTCGGCTTGTCTCGTCATCATCAATTCCCGGATGGAAAGGCAAGGAACTATCGAGAGGTCTCTTCGACGTCTGGCTCAAAGCTCCGACCAACCTGCCATCACGTTTAATAATTATTGTAAGGTACATCGTGTCTGAATGACCTAAGTAGCACACATAAATCCCAATTCTATTACATGTATTTCATGTGTAGGTATAAACTAACAAAGCTGTCGGCATTGACACTGCGACCGCGGCTGGTGAATGTGGTTTAGATCAAGCACTTTTTGACAGTGGCGTATCGATTAATATCGAGGCTGGCGTCACGGCTAATGTCGGACCCTCTATCGAGGACGCCTCATAGAGGGTCGGTAATCGGACTAATCTAGGTGCATGACCTGTCCTCGGGTCAAAACAAGCATATGACTCAGAGCGTTCGTAGTCTCTCATAACTAGACTCTAGTATAGGTGACGGATATAGTATAGAGCCTTCGGGTGTTCATTTCGACTTATATTGTCATACCCTGAGCTGTAGGGGTTTGTATTAACACAGATTCAACTGTATAGTCTCTGCATACTCTGATCCAGAGAACCATCACCATGCACTAGGCTCGTCACCAGCCTCTCTACGGGAGAAGTTTTTGGTGAGGGGAGGAACCTTTCAGTAGAGAGGCTGGCGTCATGGCCGGACCCTCTATCGAGGTTCCCTCATAGAGGGTCGGTAACCGGACTAACCATACACTGCTACGGGGACCGAAGCGGGCTTTCAAAAAAATCGAAGAGAGTCCCTGACCGGGGTTACTGAAGAGAACGTGTCGACCACCACTAGTACAGCCACCTAGGTCCTTTCGATCAGATGAGAAACGGTTCGAGATGAGCTGCAGATCTAGGTTGTTTGAGGTCGGAGACCTCGAGAAGCTCACGTCAGATTTCTCTTCAAGGCGACATAGCTCAGTTGGGAGAGCAGCAGACTGAAGTTGATGAGATAGAGATGACATTTATCTGAAGGTCCCGTGTTCAAGCCACGGTGTTGCCATTGCTTTTGTATCTTTTGACTCAAGATTCAGCTTTCTTTCAGGCTTTGCCGTCGTTGTTCTTCAGTGAAGGCTCGATAAGTTTGTAACGCTTGGGAAATGCAGTTTGAAGGGCATGAAACTCGTCTCACTTTGTTTCTATCATCGTGAGTAAAGGCAGCATCTCGGGAAACCAGTCAATGCAATCTTTCTCCTCGAAACGAAGCTCGACGAGGAAGCTGAAGAGACAGGAGGACGAGATGATGTAGAAGATAAAGAGGGAAGAGTGGAAGAGGAAGATACAGGAGCGAGAGTCGATGTACTAGAAGCTGAAAGGGGAAGAGTGGAAGACAAAGTATGTGTGATGCCTCGAAAGAGTTGTTTTGTGCCAGATAAACCGCTAAAGCTGTTCGTTGATAAAATTTCCGCAATGTCCAGATCTAGACTGTTCTTCGCAGCCAAAGCTGCTCGGATTTTAGCCTCCCGGCTGACGCTGCTCGAGCTCGCTCCGCTCACAAAATCACACAAATTTGACTTGCCCGATCGGCGGGACATCGGCTCTGCCAACCGTCCCACGGGCCACGCCCGCGGAACTCGCTCCCCGATCGAGGATCGCGCGCTCGATCCGCGCTGTGGCCATCTTTGCATGTGAATTTTCAAGTGACTAGGCAATAAGTATTTTTGGTTTTTCGTGCCATATCTGTATATTTGAGGTTCCTTGCGAGGCTTGCAGCTGAAGCTGCTCGGGGCTCACTTCGCTGACAAATTTGCTCACTGGACTCTCACAATACTGTTAACGCGATCACACCCGCCAACTCGCATAACCACCAAGGTCGCGCGCTCGATCCGCGCTGTGGCTGTTTTGTGTGGACTCCTTGTGGAAGCCTCTCTTGGCTTACATTTTTCACGCAGTTCTCCTACTTAGCTCAAAATGCCTTCACTTTCCAACTTTGTAGTGTTCCGTGGCCATGACTGGCTTCCATCACAACGCCAGTTCAGAAATTGCGCATCTCATGAGCGGTTGGCTGTCTGGAGACTTGGTCTAAGATGTACATTCCAGTCAAAGCTTCAGCGATCTTCGATGATAAACTCCGCCCAATATCCTCCACTGAGCACTCATGTACATTTCAGCCACTTCAATTTCCGAATCCTATTGTCCTTCCCCGGCTTGATATCTTCTCCAGCGCATTCGGGATCCCTGTCAAACCGTCATGAAAAAGAGTGTTCAAGTTGAATCAGAGGCAACGTACGTATAACCCAGACATTTACGTGCCCCACTGGTTCCTTCAACATAGACGAAATTGGGCGCAATGGGTCGACATTCGTCAACGCTGGTTTTGATTGATGTCCAGAATCCGTCTCCGCTGCGTCTCTTCTGGTATCCTTTCACTTCAAATTTGGAACCCTAGAACGCCACAAATCAGCGTTTGCGATGGAAATTAGACCGAAAATCCAACCGGATCGGGGATCGGTGCCGCCCAGGTTGCACTAGTCAACAGAAGAATGGAAGAAAGGAGGAATGCTTTGAGTTGCATCGTCGTGGCTGTTTCCAGAACACCGGGGGAGGGAGAGTAGGCCTGCCTATCTGGGGCTCCAGCGTTCGTTCCCAGACCTTTATATATATCTTGCTGTACATATGCCGTATAGCCAGATCCCAGACCAAGGTATCCTGGCAGCAGCTGCTCTCGCGCCATCAAAGAGACTGATTTGGCGCCAGCCAGCTGGCAACAACATACACAGTATTCATTGCCGATCTTATGCTCGTGGGTCCTAGACTTTTGTTTTGTACATGAATTGATGGAAAGAGAAATCTCTTCCACTTCTCCGGTTTCAAGAGAAGAGCGATTTGCAAGAAAACTGTACTGGTCCCATGTGGTCGTTTGGACACCGAAGCAGGCCGTGATCTGCGGCGTTGAACGGGTAACGATGATGGGGTTGACACAGTTTGTGGAAACATGGGATCCAAGTACCAAAGACTAACTCGCCACCTCTCGGTCGCCAGCGGCAATGATAAGATAGAAACACTGCCTGTCTCTCGATGTCTGAACGAAATCACGGCTTGGGACTGGATGCTCAAGATTCTCGGAAACTTCCAATTTTGATTTTTTGTACAATGGTTAGGTTTCTCGATTTGAAAGCTGCCAGTCGGTTTGGATACGGGAACACGGGGAGGTAGCGGGAGGCAGCGGGAGGCTACAATACATACGTCGTCAAGTTACGCGTAAGGCTTGGCGTAGAGGTGACGCTATGTCGAATTGCTTCACCTTGATGATCAGGTCGAATCTGACACTGACAGATGTTGAACTGTCGAAAGCGAATCAAAAGGCTATTTTTAGAATACAGGTTTCAGAGGAGACGGAGAGAAGTGCAGAGTTTACTGAACACCAGTAAAGAAAGTATCAAGAATTTGCAAGGCATTTTTGGGACATGATGACGGCTGCTTCAAATTGGAACTTGACATTGTGAATGTCGCAACTGTCACTCGTGGGAAACGGATGATGCGAATGTGATGACGCATCAAGCTCGGTGATGGCACATCACCAGACCACTGATGCGTATATTATCCTATATTATCCCTGCAGGAAGCCCAGTAAGTTAATGTATTCCCATTTGCACCCAGAAAATATTACAGAAATTCGACCAACTGGATCTGAATACATATACAATTACCCTCCAGATGTTCAACCGGTAGAAGACCTGTAAAGCGGACAGTTAGAAGTGGATCAAGAGAATCAGCTGCTATAAACAGCTCGTTTGATTTTTTCCTCGTCGTACTTGGACTTTGTGATTAGATGGACATGAAACACACGAGGAGTGGACACTGTATAGCGCCGGCACTGCTGAGGGATGATGTACAGCAGAGAACTACTATGCTCTCTTACAGTGGCGATTGAGTCGTGGTGCTCTATAGTTATATTATTGCGGGAGACTACGAAGCTGGAAAAACACGCCGGAAAACACGCTGCTGCATGGACAAAAGTGAATTTCTCTGTGATATTTATCGCAACCTAATCGGCTCCTACCGGGACCGTGAAAATTTCCATCAGCGAAAAACCATCAGATGTCTTGGCAGGGCGAATGATGCTATTCGTCCGTTACAGCGGTACTGGATTATCGCCACCGTTAAGCTCAACAAATGGGCCATTCACTTAAGCTGAAGAAGCTATTTCGCAATCAGATAGGTCTTTATCGATGCTGTGTGTACTTAGTGGAATTCAAGTGAGAAGGGGGTTGACTAATGTTTGTCGCCATGGCACTTCACATCAGATAACCAAATACGGATCCGAAGATTATCGAAGATTCGTGATGGTGGAAAAAAACACCCCAGTCCTGCAACTATTTTCTGGAAGGGAATTATCGTCAAGCTCTTCTCTGTTCTTCCTAATGTCAGTTTAAATCACAAGAATAATGTCACAAGAATAATGCCACCTTGAGTGCAAGGGGGACAAAGGTATTCCACGAGCGATGGAGGGAAATGGAATCCATGTGCTATTTTTAGACAGCACCTAACTGGGTTGGGTTTTTACCTGGTGCCTTGCACCTCTGAGCTATAAAAATGAGCGCGAAAAATGCCCATTCCTCAGTCGTGCCGGTCACTTCCATCCCCCACTTCCTTCATACCGAACAAATCTCCCTTTTAGCAACCCTCTTCTACTCTTCTATCATCATCATGCGTACCACTACATTTGCTCTTGCCTCTCTCTTGGCTTCTGTCGCTGTCGTCTCCGCTGCTCCTCGTTACCAAGGTCGTTCTGTAAGTCCCGCTTTTTGATCATTCCCATGGTGTTTATAACGAATCTTCCAGCTCGTTCCGCGTGTCCTCGATCAGAAGGCAGTGGCCTCCCTCAAAGCTGACAACGCTGCGATGAAGAAAGACAATAAAGTGGTGGAGGACAGCAGGGCGACTCTCCGAAAAGACAAGAATACCCTGGCAGCTGCTGCCAAGTCAGGTGTACGTATGTTATCTGCCATCCGGGATATGCTGATCTTCTTCTCAGAACATGGCCCAACTTGCGTCGACGGCAAAGGTTGTACAGAGTGATCTCAACAAACTTCGCACTTCCAAAGCTGTCGACGATGCTGCCAAGAGCAAGCTCAAGGCCGACATCATTAAGCTCTCACGTCGTAGGGTGTGTCCTCTGATTCTCTAAGTTCTATTCCCTTTCTGAATTCCATCAGCTCATGGCTCGCACAACTGAGGAGGAGAAAATCAGGACGGCTGTTCGTACTCAACACAGGGCCAAGCAGCTCGACGCTAAGGTCGCCAATGATGGCAAGCAGCTCGCCGCTGACACAAAGAAGTTGCAAGCTGATGCGACGAAGACCGTACGTGTTCCATTTATTCCACTTCCGACCAGTGCTGATCTTTCCGTCAGGGCAAGGGATCTACAGCACAGCTGCTCAAGGATGTTCAGGCTGTTACCAGTGACAAGCGGAAGCTGGATCAGGATAAAGCGAGGGACGAGCGGGCCAAGAAGAGGGCAGCAAATGCGCTCACAAAAGTTCGACGTGATTTGGTTAGTCCTTTTTTTACTCTGATACATTTCTCAAGTCTTACTATTCGTCCAGTCCACTCTCCAGAAGCGACAGACCTACCTCCAGGCCCGAGAGCAGCTCCTCCAGGCTCGCAGCGCGTTGTACGAGGACCTGGACGAGCTCGAATAGGTGTATGCTTCAGCACTTTGATTATATTTGTACACAGTAGGAAACGGTTTCGATTTATCGGTCTCTGCATGTAATTAGTTCATTGATTGAACGAAAACTTGCATTTTTGGGGAATTATCTTAAACCGGAGCACAAACATAGGCAAACAGTGCCTTCACTCCGTGAGAGTCAGCACGTGGATATTCCTCCTACCAGCCAGCTGCGCGCCGACGCATTCGACCAGGATGAGGATACTCAGCTTCAATGCTAGCAGACTCCTATATCATAGTAGGATATCAGAGGTACCCTACAACCACCCAGCGAAAGCCTTCAATCAAGCGCGACATCTTTCTGTCAGCTTCGATAGCTTCCGTTAGGA